GAGATTTAGAGTCTCCTTCATTCTTCTTCAAACTCTGGGATTTGGAATTAGATGGATTGGAGTCGATCCTAAGAGTTTTAGCCGAAAAGCAATGACGAACATGGACACGGTGGCACACAGTCTCAGTCGAACAACCTCCTTGTACATTCACCACAAGTATTGCTTCCTTATCCCGAGTGTCCTCACACCACCAATTCTGTGGAATTCCATCTACAAAATCTTCTAATGTATGGAATTCCTCATGGTGAACCGATACCTCCACTGCACTATCTGGTTTTATAGCTCCTGCAGCTGGCGTTACCTGAAACAAAAGAAGCCCAATCATCTTAAAAAAGGCAAGTCTTGAGAAATTTATAACCAAGGATTGATCGTTTTAGTTTGGATACCTCGAGCCACCGTGGGAAACCGAATGAGCCTAATGGATGTAACTCAAGCGTGTCTTCGTCTTCTCTCACTGTACTCTGTCCTTCGCACAAGATCCTAAACACAGCGTTGTCCTTGACACATTTGTTGGTGATGCGAAGCACGAAGGTGTCTTGGTTCTGGAGAACTATGTTGTTGCTGCTAACAATTGTCTCTGGTACATAACGTAAGTCCTCGAGCAACGCTCTGACTTTCTCATTGGTCTTGATAATTCTACCAAACTCTTGTCTCCTTACTGATCTATCAACATGCTCTATCTTCACATGGAATTTGCAACGGACCGGTTTGTGATCACTGTCTGTCACATCCATACAAGCATCATACCTATCCATAACCCGCCAAAACAGTTAAAGACTTGGTAGATATAGATGAGGTGGAATCTTACAACATTGTAAGGAAAATCTTACAACATAATCGAAGCAACAACAGGACAGTCTAAACTGCATTCAGATTCTGGACTTGTACGTGTGTCTCTGTATATTACTCTATCACACCACGCAGGAATCCGCTTTTTCTCACCAGAATCATACCCTAAGGAAGAAAGCATTGACAAAATAAAACATCAAATTTTTGTATGCTGCAAACACTTTTCATACAATATGATTTATGTACCTCCTAAGCCAGGCCGGTGTCTTTCAAACTTATAAGTTGGAGGGAAAGTAATGATGGCTTCACGCATTCCTTGAAAAACTCTTCCAGCTTTCATCTCTGCCCTGAGCTGATCTTTTTCTCTAAGCCAATCGAAGCTTCTTTGTGAGACGAAGTCCCTAGCTTCATCATATGATATACCAAACAGGCGGTAGTTGAAATCACCAAAAAATACAACCATGTCCGCCTCTGCTAGGTCTTGTTTCGTCTCTTCTGTGTTTATGTTTGCATTCTGCAAAATGTGTGAGAGGGGTCTAAGGTAAGCAAAAAACTCAACCAAAGATAGGAGGGAAAACATGACTGATTTGTTGAGCGTGATCATTAGCTCTGTGTTAAACTATACAAGATGAAATAACAAAAAGAGACTTACATTTGCGCTTTTTGTAGTATGAGAACTGGTAGACACACCAGCTGCATAAGTTAAAAGTCATGGGGTATACACATGAGTTGCATTAAGAAAGGAGAAGTGAGGTGAAAAATAAGTGTAAAAATATACCGGCCGGTGCATTATGAGCAGATGATCGGGTGAAGGACATTGTTTTGTAGATATGATCGAAATCAGCATTTCTGCGGTTTACAGCTTCTAGATGTGCGGCCAAGTGACAGTTGATGAAGCACATAATCCGATCAAAGACCCTAATTCTCAAACCTACACCTCCCTAATTCGATGTTAAAAAGTAAATCAGGTAAGCTGCCGCTATATAAGAAACAAGATTTATCCACACACTGGAGAAAATGGAATAAAATGAAATAAAGCAAAGGTACTTTATTTTTATCGGAAGACAGAGTTTTACCTTGTTTCCTATTGCACGTCCAAAACCACATGGAACCGCTGCAACATCAATATCGCCTACATGGGTTCTTAGATTCTTCCTCACCCTGAATTAATATCAAAATATATCAAGACACCATCAAACTATGAATAAAGCTTTACTTGTCTGTTGGATAAGCTCTCTCATGGGATATTTCAACTCACCAAAGTGATATGAGTAAACCAGCTAACTGCCTCGATCCCATGCGTTCAAAAACTGCTTTTTCGTCTAAGGTCTTTCCTATTGTATCTATCCAGTACTGCCCTATCGTACTTCCTTCATTTCCTCCTACCTAATATAAAAACCAAAAAGAGGTAAAAAAAAATAACACCGTGAAGAAAAAAATATAGTCAGCATACTCTTTCCACTATTGTCTCACCGATTCTTTAGCAGCTGACATTGCCAAAAACCCAGCACCCATTTCTACTTCTTGTAAGCCTACAACAAGAATACCAACATCTGATGCTACAGAACCTAACCAAGACATAAGCGCATCATGGGAAGCTTTTCCTTGGCCAACATTCCATGAACCGATCAGAATCCTAACACTGTCAGTCTGTGCATATGTCCGTTCTTTTTCAGCCAATTCAGACCTTATTATCCCGTCAAGAGGCCCAGGAGAAATCACATGCCATCCACGTATACCACCGTGAGTGGCTAAGCTAAAAATGTAGCCATCAGCTGCTGCCATCTTTATCACTGCGTTATTGTGTGCAACCCATCCCGCAATTAAATTGCCTTCAAGATCAATTATCTGGATGTGACCGCTAACATAACCAATGTATATTCTTTCCCCAAAAGTGCAGAAACACAATACAGCACACTGATGGTGACGAAAATCCTGTAATCGGTTTCCATTTCCGTCCCATTGTATAAGTAAGCCATTTGTGCATCCAGTCCAAATCATGCCATCCCCAGCTAAAACCATCGCTTCTGTCCTCTTAGCATCTTCATATGCCCCTCCTCCTCTTGTTGCAACCCTTCTGACAGCATCCGCAGCTCCCATTATTGCATTCCTTGAGCGTTGCAAGAATCCATGTGGTTTCTCCTTTTTCGAAGTAGATGCAATTTTCGTCTTCATCTCATCTTCTGCAGGTTGTTCCTGTCCTGATGGCATTTCAACCCTGTTTTCAGTCTGACCTTCTGTGTTGAACACTTTCAGTAGTTCTTTTGTACGACCATCCCTGCAAAGATATTGACCCCATTAAATATTTTACATCCAAGAAGACATACAAATCTTGCAATCAAATTTTTGAGCTAAAGCATCAATCAGTACTCACCATAAGGAGAAGGTTTGAAGCTGAGCAGCCCAAACTTTAGATCTTACATTATCAGCTAACAAACACTTGACTTCAGAGGAAGATATATTGCAAGTTCCGTTGACAGTAACTTGAGCCCTGAGATCAATCCCTGACCTTTCTACCAACAAAGCAGCCATATGTTTCTCCTCCAACCTAAGCGAAAGTGATTTCTCCATAGATTCCCAAGTCCATATTTTTATCACACCACCTTCCGAACATGACCACAAATCGCCTGGATTTTCCAATAATAAGCAATGAATTTAAGATTGTATCCATTACAAGGAAAAAAAGAAAGAATTTTGAGGTAGAATTATATACCATAAGAACTCATGATCACAGAATTGACAGGACCCTTGTGAGCTTGCCAAGAGAGACCTTCCTTGAAAGGACAATCATCACCATCATCAACCTCATAATCCATCTTCCAAGAGCGAATCTTTCCATCCTTGTGGCCACTCCAGACAAGCCTATTCCCATTATCAACCATCAAACAAGTGGTTGGGGATGTACTAGCCGACTCCTGAAATGGCGCAGCATCCTCATCACCTCTCTGAACACGATCGCTTAAACCACAACCAGGCTCAAAGGCATCATCGAAGTTCCAAAATCTAACACCACTCTCTTGTCCAGCCCACAATTGTGTACCCGTGCAAGCAATGTTCCTCAAAAATCTCCCAACTTGAGTTTCCTTTAACGGATGTGGCCTCAACTCTAAACAAGGGGGACGCGCTGAGTGCAAAGGAGATCGCGTCGGTACTTTAAACATCCCAACGCCGCCTCCAGAGCCGACGAATTCAGGAAGCGGTTGAAAATCCTCTCCGATCTCAGGCTGGTGCGTAATCAAGTAATCATCAGAATCTCCGGTATCACCTCTGGTGAAGGGAAAAGATGAGGAATTGGTGGTGGTAGCGTAAGTATAAAACTCGTCATCGGAAGAATCGCCGGAGATGCCGCATCCAGAGACGAATTCAGTGATTTTGGGGATATCGTCAAGGCTGTGTTGACGCTGGCGGTGGTGACGGCCTTTCTTACCGGTGGCACGAAGCTGATGGCTGTAGGAATGGATTTTGCGAGGAGGAGGAACGGAGCTCATGGCGGAGAGAGCGTCGTCTTCTTCGTCGTCTTCGGAGCGATGGTGGTTGTTGTTGTTGATATCCATGGCGGAAGAAGATAGAGGAAAGAGAATGAGAGAAATGGGGTGAATGAAGAAAATGTAAGAGGAGGGAGAGAGAGAAGGAGCGAAGTGTTCGGGAGAAACATGGCGAGAAGAGAGTTTAACTGTTGCTTCTCTCTAGCTCCTCCATTTTTCTCTGCACTGCGCTCCATCTTTTTCTCTCCTTCTCTTCTCTTGCCTTAATTTATCTTCTTCGTTTTCAATTTTGTATATTGTATTATTTTACTTCGCTCCTTTTAGTGATTTATAGAAAGTTTTAAAAACTTCAAATGTTATGTAAAATCAGTTGTTATTTAATCAAGATTTTATTAAACTTTTTAAAAATTTGGTGTTATTAATTACTGATTTTTAAATACTTATTTAAAATCTTTAGTCATTAGAAGTTATGAGTTATTCAATTAAAACATAAAAATCTTTGATTGTTAATGAATTAAATTTTTATGTTATTGGTTTATGATTTTAAACACTTTTCTTTACAAATTAAAGTAATGAAAAATATTATCAAAATAGAGAGATTGTTGGAAAGACTTTACAAGATTATAGAATTCAAGTCAACAAGATTACTAAAAAAAACTCTCTAACAATCTTTTAAATGATTTTATTTACATATATGATTTTTTTTAAATCATGGAAATTCTTTATAAGTCACAAACCAATACCACCCCTTTAGTCCTCCACAGCGTCAGATCATCTGACTTTTCTTCTCTGCTGAAATCTCTCTTTTCATATATTTTTTGATTTGGGCGCACTACGGTTTACTAAAGTGTCTATCGGAATCCCTCTACCTGATTGTGTGTGGTTTGATATAAATTAGGGTTGAGATTTTTAATTGAATCTAAAAATCCTCTTCTTCGTATCAGAGAATTTGAGTCTTCCGATCGAGCATGTCGAAGCAAAAAGAAGAAGCCACAAGTAGCCCACTGAATTTGACGGTAATTGGATTTCTACTGATGAATCGATTCCTCTCTCTTTCTCTCTCTCTTGCATCAACTCTCATGATTCTAATGTTTTTTTTTAATAATTGGGGTAAGGGACTCAATGATGCTTTACCACGAGTACCAGATGAGATGGATTACTATACGCACCCAGTACCACCCTTCAGCTTTAATGACTTTTTACCGTTGTACCACAACATGGAAGGGCAAAGATTTTTCTTCACCAACAACTCTGCTCGATCCCTTAAAGATTTCTTGCCCCCTGCAGAACCTTACAATTACGAGCCCCCCTCCGAACCTCCTCAACCTTACTCTTGCTCCCAAATTGCAGAGCTCCCCGAACCTCAATTATTCTCTCCCCCCTCTGAGGAAACTCACTTGCCCTTGTCACCATCTACAGACGACCAACCTGATTATGACAATTTCTCCGAATCTCTTCTTGACATGGATGAACCACCTTACGAATGGGGTTTTGGCTATGAACCCCCTACACCCACCGCCTATGTACCTATGGTAATTTTTGCACCTCTTGTTTACGTAAAATCTTTAGGGGTTTTAAGTTTTAAGGTACTTCATATCATATATGTATATTCTGATGATTTTTACAGCCTTCTGGAGATGAAAGGATGTTTGGTAAAGTTGGACTTCATTGCTACAATCTGCAAAATGTAAATTAATATAAGTTTCTCTTTCCCTTTCCATGCTCACCATTGTTGGTTTTGTATATATATCGTACAAGTTCATATTCTCATCTTTGCAGCGGACAAACCTTAAATTTTTCTGTCATGACGACGATGAGTTATTTTATGAGCTTGTAAAATTTTATGCAACGGATCCAACTCGCTGGTATTCCACTTTTGAGTTCATAACAAGGGTCGTTGAGTTTCGGAATGAAGGCTACTTGACTTTCATTACAACCCAATGCACATTATTGCCAGGTAATCTCTAATGCACCTTTTTCTTAACCTCTCTTTGTTATATTATCATTATTATTATTATTATTATTAGTGTGTTTGTGTCTAATCATTCTTGGCCATGTCTACTTGTGTAATATCACTTCAGAGGAGGAAGCCTTCCCATGTGACGAGTTTGACAAACTTGCCGTCGATGACTTCTTCAGAGGAGATATGCCCAACTCGATGCCTGAGGATACCACTGACAACCTGCAATACTACGAGGTATGAGCCCCCAGCCCCTCCCTCAAACGCTTTAGGGGAAGCATGCCTAGCTAGAGACTATGTGATATGTTGTTGTTGCCTTGATTTTGCAGTTGAAAGAGTCAGAGGTGGAAGCAGAAAAGGATTGGCTTCGTCTCTACTTGGAACTCGCATTGCACACCAACTTCTTTTGTTTCCCGGTGAGAGAAAAGACTTAGACTATATAAAAAAGAAAGAGGATGGGAATTTTTGTAGGTTAATGAGATCTCTTGGTGTTGTGCTGCAGCGCTCAATAGAATGGGATAGTCCATATGACCTTAAAAAGATAATTGTGCAAACCAGAGCAGATGTGGAGCCTGAGAAGAAAGCCAAGGCGGAGAATGCTATCTTCTACATCAGCTTCAAAAGCGGTGGCACCAAAGACTGCGATGTTATCATAAGGAGAACAATGGATGGAATGCCACATCATATGTCGCTTGAAGTCAAGTGTTTGATGTGAAGGCCACCATTATATCTTTTTTATTTTCAGTATCTTATCCCCCCCCCCCCCCCATTATGTATTAAGTATATATCTAAACTGTGCTAGTCAGGCAAAAGGATGATAACTTTTACATATATATACTCACTTACTTCGGATCAAATATTGCAACGTTAAGGATCACCATTTTGTGGGGTTTATTTCCTTATTGCTTGCATATCTACTACATTCGCCTATGCTAATTCCGTTCACTCTCTCTCGCTCTCTCTCTCCTTGCTTTGTTATGTTTTTGTATTATTTGAGTGTTATGTATATAATAAAAGAGATTAATCATATGAACATTAGTACTGCTACTACTATAACAATCATCAATATTTAAACATACATAAAGCTAGTAAATATATAATAGAAGATAACCATTATTCTTTAATAGAGATTACACATATAATACTCTTACTAAACCGTAAGTTCTCTTTCTTACAGATCAATTGATCTTCTTCCACCTCCCGAGCTTCTCTTTGCCCTGTCCATATTTTTTACTCATTAGATCGAAAGAAAATAAACTCTGTGCTTTACAAATTTATAGTGTTTCATTTAACGAAAAAAATCAATTTTAAAATTGCAATATATCATACTGGCATAATTCAGTTTTGAAAACCTAAAGAAAAGTTTGGTTAAAAAGTTTGAGCAGTATATTAATTTTTCATGTACTCGAACGTTTCTTATAATGGTTACTCTGTATATGTATTTTTTTTTGTGTATATGAAATTCATGGCAATGTGTTACGAAGATATCTATACACCAAAATCATAAGATATAGACTTAATTATGCTTTGATTTTATAATATGTGTAAATATTATATGTTAAATATGAGTAATCTTGCGCAATGTGAGTGTACTTCTATTATACCTTACGAGTAGGAATGGCATTTGGATTCTCCTCGATAGACACTGCTTTAAATCCTACGGGAACCAACACATCCTCGTAGCTGATCCACATAAAACACACACAAAACTAATATTTTTAGTTACTTAAACTCTTAAATGTTGATTCAATTACTCAGAACTATAAGAAAAAAAGTGAGGGATTGGATTACGTACGTAGAGACATCCACTTTGTAGGGAGGTCCACCAACGTGGTCGGTAATCTATATAATTAGTAAAAATGAAAGTATTAATCCATATACTCTTATGATTAGTGATATATCATTGACTTATGGAACATATATTCACACGGAAATGAAATAGAAATTATTACCGGATACATGAGGGTTATGAGTTCGCCGCCAGGTTTTAAGAGTTCATGCATAGATTTAGCCCATGCAGATCTCATCTCCGGTTCAATGGCACAGAAGAACCTGTTAGTATATTATATTAGTTAATTGGATTTTAATTACTTACTTCCAACATTATATATGTTTTAATTTCATAGTTAGATTAAACTCACACATAATCGAAGATGAGGTTGAATAATTCGTTAGGACGCCAAGTGAAAACATCTTCCTTCACGAATGAAAAGTAGTTTGCCTTTGGTGAGGAGCTGTAAGTCTAAATCAGACATAAAAGTATTGTTAGTGTTCAGTATATTTAAAAGACGAACGTTGAGGTGATTTAGCCGTTTAACCTCATTAGCTTTCGTGAGGGCGCTTTCGGAAATATCCAATCCAACAACGTAACGTTCAGGACTTGCCATGGCAACGACGTCGTGTCCCTAATCATAAGTCATAACGTACATAACATAATTAATTTTATGTAAAAAAGTTAATCTACAAGCATTCCATTTTCATTAAAGCCACTAAACATAAATTAAGTAGAAAAAATCATAAAAGCCAAACTTGATGATTTTAATTCACTTAAATATATTTTTTTTAAAAAAAAATTATAACAAATAATAGTTTACAGATATTAATGTACATTCACATCGGAAAACCGAGAATAACACTGAAAACCAAACAACAGAAATAAAGAAAACTACACCAAAATTAAACTTCTTTCAACAAAATTCTGATGAAGTTGTATTGTCTTGATTAAAAAATAAAATAAGGTGTTGAGTCCAAAACTGTAATATATATAAATAACATATTGTCTTTCTCTTTTCTTTTTCTTTTTAGCGTAAGTATAATATTTTCGTTGGAAAAAATCGAATGCAAACCATATAAACCAAAATGGAAAGAGATCAGAGTAAGAAGAAGACTGACACCACCGCAGCCGGGGACAAGAGCACGGCCAAGAGGGAGTGAGCAAGTGTCGACAAGATGAACGATGAGAGGTGTGGCTCTTCCTTGGTCCCATGGTGTTATCTCTTCTTCCCAACATTTCTCCCATCCACCTGCAATATATACATTTTATATTATATATTACGTACGGTAAAAATATAAATGTTTAAATAACTTTCTGGTCTATATAAAGCCTCTTACAAAAAAAAAAAAAAAAACTTTCTGGTCTATATATGGATAATTAAATTCACAAAAATGATATAAGTCAATCACCATTACGAATTGAATTTCTGATGAGTAGAAAATTCGTTAAACTTAACAATTAATATACATGAACTTTGTATGTTCAGAAAGCTGTTGATTTTGGTTATAACTAATTGTAAACTCATTGCTATATATGGACAGAAGACCTATATAAATCTCTGTTAATTGTGAAAAAAAGAAAGAATCATCAAGGGAAGAATGAATATGAATCACCGACCTTCTTCAACAGTTTTGTGCAGGAAAGTAGCAACTTCTTCAGGAGTAGGAATAACGTTTCCTCCACCGTTGCTCTGACCTTGACGTTCTTCAGCCATTTCTAGGGGTTCTCAAGCTCTATCCCTCTCTTTCTTCTATTTATTGCTTTATCCTTTATATATACAATATATAGGGAATATTTTTCTTTTTGATGGTCTTGAAATTGTGAAAAACTTTTAACACATGCTACTTATCTATAAAGACGATACAAAATTGAATTATTATTATTATATTTAACAAAAAGGAAATTAAAACAGTAATTTAACAAACGTGATCTTGCATAAAGGTTATATATATATATATATTTTGCTTTCACCCTCGAGCCTTTCTGCCCATTTTTGTGTGCCTTCTCATTGGACCACGTTGCACTATTTTAGTTTTTTTTTAAGTTAGGTCCTCAATATTCAGTTATTCACGATGGGGCGATTGTAAAAATGATCCGAGTAAATTACTCATTTCATTATTGTAACGTAGAAAAAAAAGATAGATATATAAAATGTCGAAAGGCCATGAACATGATGCATTCTTATCCATCGTATGAAAGTCAGAAGCAAGTGGGATCAGTGGCCCTGGTTTCCACTCAATTATTCACCAATTCCCACCACAATAATTAGATATTGAACATTTTCTGTGTACAACATTCATTTAAAGAACTCTTTCTGAGGGGCTCACAAGTCTCACGACTCACGAGTGAGATTAATTAGGTGTGATCAAGGGACCACACATAAATTTAATAGAAGCAATGAAACAGAGTAATTAAGATCTCACACTACTGGATTATATGTGAGTACGTCGTGTTCTTAACTTAAACCAAAAAAACGACGAAAACGTTTTGGAGTGTGACACGCCTCTTTCTCTTTGAGGTGTGCCAATTTCACCAACAAGGAATCATACTGTGGATTATTAATAAAAATTTCTTAGAAGGAAAGAAACTTGAAAGCTTGCAAAGACAAAAACTCTAATTGGAAAAGGAAAATCTTTTATTACATTGAAACACAAGCGCTGGATAAACAAGCACACACCAAATGAAAGAGAGGAAACATATATGGGACATAACAACAAGGGGATAGATCTGGTCCCTCGTAGAGTAGACGCTGGTCACGGTCTGATAAGTATCACATTCAAACATTACATATTTTACATAGAGTACTATGATGGTACTCAATTTATTCTTTAATATTGATTACAACATTACACACATATAACACTGATCTTACTAAACAGCGTAAGATCTCTCTCTCTCTTGAATCAGTTGATCTTCTTCCACCTCGCAAGCTTCTCTTTGCCCTGTTTTTATGCGTACACCCGAAGAAGGATGATCATTATAATATGATTTGAACGGCAGTTAGTTAACTTATAAATTTATACTATTTTATGTAACGGGGAAAAAAAGGAAATCATACTATAAACGACATCAGTCAGTAATAAAAATATCAACTTTTATTCTGATATAACATATATGTCAAGTGTCAACTCGCACAACATGAGTGTATTATTTGTACCTTACGAGTGGGGATGGAGTCTGGGTTCTCCTCAATGGACACTGCTTTAAATCCTACCGGAACCAACACGTCTTCGTATCTGAACATCAGAAAATTAAGAATATAACAAAACTACAAAACACTAGTTCAAAAGGAATGATTAATTACGTATAAGACACATTTGAGGGTTAATTTTACGTACGAAGACAAAGCTACTTTGTAGGGAGCTCCACCCTCGTGGTCGGTCATCTAATCAATAAAAACGCAAAGTATTAATGATTCATATAATATACTCTGTGATTATACATCTATTATATGGTTGAATTATGGAACATTCACACATGAAGAGATATATGAAAATAATCACCGGATACATAAGTGTTATGAGCTCGCCGTCAGGTTTTAGGAGTTCATGCATGGATTTACCCCATGCAGTTCTCATCTCCGGTTCAATTGCGCAGAAAAACCTGAATATATATATTGTTAGTTAATTAGTAACTACTCGATCGTTGCTAAAGTTTTTATTTTCATTGTTAATTAAACTCACACATAATCGAAGATGAGGTCGAATTTTTCGTTAGGACGCCAAGTGAAGACATCTTCCTTCACAAACGAAAAGTATTCTACCTTCGGTGAGGAGCCGTAAGTCTATATATAATCAAAGGAAAGCGATTAGTTTTTTCAGTATGTGTTTAAAGACAAACGTTATTTATCAGGATTGTGAGGTGATAAATGATCAGAAAGACTAAAAAAATGTGGATAACCTCATTAGCTTTCTTGAGAGCCTTTTCAGAAATATCCAATCCAACGACGAAACGTTTAGGGCTTGCCATGGCAACGACATCGTGCCCCTAATCACATTCGTATATATCGTATACACATAAGTTAAATTACAAGCATTTAATTGTTTTAGAATTTTACACTAGCTAGAAAGCGACTAAACATGAAATACTTACGCGATTCAACCTAGAAAGTGAAACGTGATGATATTCATTAGGTTAAAATTATCTTAACATACAAGAAACCAAGATTAAAACCAAAGACCAACCAAAATAATTAAAGAAAACTACACCATATATTTTCTTAAAATTTATCTTTGTTGTTTTAATATCCAAAATCTAAAAGTATTATATGATATTTTAAAACTAAAAACCGAACTCAAATTAAATTGAGAAAGAGAGGACTAATGAATTACTCCGCCACAGCCGGGGACAAGAGTACGGCCAAGAGGGAGAGATGAAGAGTCGAGAAGATGAAGAATGAGAGGTGTGGCTCTTCCTTGATCCCACGGTGTTACCTTGTCTTCCCAACATTTATCCCATCCACCTGCATACATTTTATATATTAGGGTTAAAAAATTATATTAATAATATCAAGATTATGATATTTATAACTAATTGATAGAGATACTTATTTATTTGATAAACTAATTTGGAACTGGAAATATTTACTAATGATCAAATTATTAATTTATGGAGTGCTAATTCTTTGAAGCATATATATGTTGTTGTTTTTTTGTTTCGTTTTGTTAGTGAGACTCATTTATCAAATATTCACATTTATAGTTTTCATAATGAATAAAAAAAATTGGATGATGGATCGATGACCTAAAACTCCATTAGCTTTTTAACATGAAGATTGAAGGAATTTAGGAATTATGACCTTCAGCAACAACTTGGGGCTGGAAAGTAGCAGCTTCTTCAGGAGTAGGGATAACATTTCCACCACTGCTGTAACCTGATGAATGTTGTTGTTCTTCAGCCATTTTTAGTACTTTGTTGTAAAGCTTGAAGCACAAGATAGCTATTTATAGAGAGGTTTCCAAATTAATTTAATTGAATTTTAACAATTAAACAATGACTGAACAAAAAAAATTAAATTTTTATAGAATTAAATAAGTAATTTTGCTCTCTCACCCACTGTACTTTCTGCCCCCATTACGAATATTCCCATTGAGAAGAGACGACCCCTAAATAATATGCATAGAGTCAAGTCATTCTTAATTATAAACCGGCCGACGTCCATCACAATTTTAAACATATCCCAAAGAAATAAGACCAGTGGGCTTTTATTCGGCCCACAATATTCTCTTTAACCTACTGATAGTTAAGACTTAAGTGTCATTTAGATTAGTCATCACGACTCGCGTGTGATCGATCACAAAGGAGAAGGCCACCACCACCGACACCGAGTGAGACAACAAATTCTAACAGAAAGAAAGAAAGCTACGACCTAACTTCCCCACTCACTCACTACTTGGTTTTTAAAAATTAACAGTGAACCTTTACCTGCCCACATCTGTCTATATAACGGAAAACGACAAAACATATATATTTAAAGTATGACTGTGTTTTTTGGTATTGTGTTACACATCTCTTTAGCCCTGGGCATATAATCCGAATCCGACAAAACCGATCCGAACCGATCCGAAAAATCCGATTTGGATCGGTTTCGGTTACTATGTAAAAACCGATCGGATTTTATGTTGAACATGATTCGGATTTCGGATTTAAACCGATCCGAACCGAAATCTGATCGGTTATCTGCTAACCCGAATACACATGGTCTAATACATCACATAGTATACATATAATCTCTATGTTTTTGTCCTTCAACGCTCAAACCTCTTTTTTACGTTGGATTGTTCGGATTTAGAGTGTAAGTTTCGGATTTATAGTGTAGAATCCGAATCCGAAACCGATCTGAAATAGGATTCGGTTTAAACTCGGATTCGTAATAAAATTTGAAAACCGATCCGAATCCGAAAAAATCCGAACCGATCCGATCCGAAAACCAGTCGGATTCAAATCGGATTCTATATATCCCAATCCGAAAAATCCGAACTCCGAATAATCCGATCCGATCCGATCCGAAAATCCGAACGCCCAGGGCTACATCTCTTCCTTCTTAAGGTATATGCCAATTTCAGTAAGGCAAACGGATGAGAATTTAGACATTGCTTCCTCATTTTATTATTACAATATGTAACGTTTGGACCCATTTCAGATGTGCACTATAATGTAATCTTTATTGATTGTGTTTAGTATAGAAGAGCCATATATGCATAAGAGACGACATTGAGGGGATTCATTACAAAGACTTCTTCTTCTTCTTCCTCCACCTGCCAACTTTTTCCATTCCCTGAAATTATTAATTATATCTTAAACCTTCTTGTTCTTTCACAATGAAACTAAAGTGATGAAGTTGATTTCTTTGTTTCGTTTACCTTTCGTGTATCTGGAACAAGTTGGTTATCCACTATAGAGATTACCTCAAACCCTAAGGGAACCAAAAGCTCTTCATAGCTGCAAAAGATTTGGACCAAAGTTAGACATTAAGAGAGTTTTTTTAGAGCTGTTAAAAGATTACTGAGAAGATGAAAGATTCATACGCTGATACTGATACTTGGTAAGGAGGTCCTCCAACATGATCATCTACCTGCGTAGTACACAATCAATAAAAACAAAAAAAAAAACATATTAGAACCGGGACACTTTGTTTTGATGTGCGAAATGTTTTATGATTTTTTTTTCAAATTTTTTTTTATAGGAAACATTAGTGTTATAAGCTCTCCACAAGTGTTCAGAAGTTCTTGCATACGCTTTGCCCATAGAGCTAGGTCTAACTTTAGGTTCAAAGGCACAGAAGAAACTGCGAGAATATATATCATTGATCTTGTTATCCTCTTCATCATATGAACCAAGACATCAAAGCATATAAAGGTTTATACAAGGAAAGAAAGTATACTTGTAGTCGAAAATGAGGTTGAATTTCACTGTTGGCTCCCAAGTGAAGAAAGTCTTCTTGCAAGAAGGTGAAATGTTTTGAATTAGGCAATGTAGAGAACATCTGCATTTGAGATTTAAACATCAACTTTTCACATATTTTCAAGCATCCACCAACTGATAAAATCTAGACCACAAACCGTGGTTTATCTTTCTACTGAGGTTTTCGAAAGATCAAGTCCAACAACATGACGGTCAGAGTTTGCCATCACAACCACATCATAGCCCTGTCAAAAACCAATTTTTAATGGAAAACGAATATCTTACAAGAAAAAAATCAGAGTGTGACAAAAAAAAGAAAAGAAACTAACGGTTCCACATCTGGGAATTAAAGCTCTTCCATTAGGTAATGAACCCGTTTCGCAGAGATGAACAACAAGGGGAGTCGCTTCTCCTTAATCCCAAAGTGTTTTTCCTTCTACCCATAGCTTTTCCCACCCACCTTGACAAAAACAACACAAACATGCAAAAACATTCATATCTCATTATAATAGTGTGATAACCATCAACAGTCTATATTATTGTGAAGATGTTACCATGATCTCCATTGGTAGATCACTGCGTTTAGAAACAGAATGGGAAGTTGATGTTTTGCTTCATGAATTGTATAACCAAACTTGTATATTATTATATGACCCGAACTGCTTAGAATTTTCTCCAACATAGAAATATATTTCAGTAACAATAAAATCTAGAAAGAGTTGAATTGTCAAATATTTGGTAACGAGGTTTCTAACATCGATGCACTGGAGATCAACCTTCTGGATAATTGAGAACCCAAAAAGAGATGAATCAAACCTAAGTAGACACTACCAACTGGTGAGCACAAAGCAAACTAAAAAGGGAACTGTTGAATAGTAAACATGTGTTACAAATATTATTTCCAGTGACATAAACAGATTGAAGCATATGGGCTTTTGTAATGATCAATAAACAAACATTAATCACGATTTACAAGGTGGAGTGAAATGTGCCAGATTTCTTCCATCTTCCAAGCTTCTCCATTCCCTGAAAATTGATTCCAAGATAACGTTATCTTCTGATCCTAAACTGGAAACTACGATTCTCCATTGATTTATCTGAAGGTTTATTCAACAGTTCATGTTAATGTTTACCATGCGTGGTCCTACAGCAAGTTCGTTATCCACAATGGAGATTGCTTCAAACCCCAATGGAATCAGAACCTTCTCGTATCTACCCATAGAAAACATTCAGAGTGAAGATTGGGAAAAGTAATTCTCTAATGTTGCTCTTAGTAAAAGAGATAACAGGAGATTCTTACTCTGACACAGATACTTTGTAAGGAGGACCTCCAGAACGTTCATCAATCTACACAAAATTGCATTTTAAAGTTTACAGCAACTACAGAAATGTGAGGAGATAGATGAAACAGAGAACATATATATGCTATGATTCTTACAGGAAACATCAATGTTATAAGCTCTCCACCGGGTTTCAGAAGTTTCTCCATTCGCTGTGCCCATAGAGGTCTCACGCCAGGTTCAAAGGCACAGAAGAAGCTGCGAGAATGGTCATAAGGCAGTGATATATAAACTGAAGTTACATTTGTATGAACCAGAAACCAAACATTTAGACTATATCCATACGTATAATCAAAAATGAGATCGAATTTTTCAGCTGGCTCCCAAGTGAAGAAATCTTCACTCAAGAAGGAGAAGTATTTTGCATTGGGCAATGAGGAGAACATCTGCATTTTGAGATTAAACAAAAAATGTGTTATATTACCTAGGAAGTTCTGAACAGGCATTAGAGGCAAGACACCAACTCTAAGAAATTAGCTTAGTTTAGCTCAATAACGCAGGCTACATATATAAAGGACACGAGCATATCCATAACATATTCCATAATAGACTATTCACACCTTTGATGATCGCTCAACCGCAGTTTTAGATATATCCAGTCCAATGACATAACGATCAGGGGAAGCCATTGCCACCACATCATAACCCTGCAAATGACCACAGGTCACTACTATCAGAAAGAAAATTCCAAAGAACAAAGTTGGTTTGAGCAGTCATATCAAGGCAAGCTGACACAAAGTTTTATTTTCAAGTGTTGTTGACATCTATTCTATATAGCAAACAGACAAGAAGTATTGAAGAACATACGGTTCCACAACCAGGAACTAGAGCTTTGCCATTAGGTAATGAACCAGTCTCGACAAGATTCACAATAACCGGAGTTGGTTTCCCCAAGTCCCATGGCGTCGCTCCTGCTTCCCAACTCTTCTCCCACCCACCTTAAACAATACGATCGATGAATCAATTCACGAATCACGATGAACACAAAATACGAAATTGAGCTCAGAAAATTTCATACCAGAAGAATTCTCGCTCATGAGCCGGTGGAATATTTCACGGGACGCTTGGACTGCCATAGCTTTACCGGCGTTTTCCATTGGAGTCAACGAACCCAAACGATACGACAACGACTCTTTTAAGACCAAAGGAGGAGGATTAAGGTTTCTGCGATTAATTAAGCTCTGTAACAAGCGACTTATTGTCCTATTAATCATCCTTTTCTGGTAATTGTTTTTTATTTGTACTTCCTTTAGTAATAGAATCCACGGAAGATTAAAAAAGAAAGAAAAGAAAAATAGCCAATTGCAGAGATGCAAAGAACAATTTTGTAACCGATGTGATCGTATACATAGTTGACAAATAATCCTATCGAATCGTACTGATCATGGGTATCAAAATTTAGACAAAAGAATATAATTGGTTTGGTTGTGTATGTTATGTGTGATCACCAGTCATAATTTACAACGAGAGGCTTATCTTCTCTGTTTTGTAACGAGAAGGAGATAAAGAGAGTGGGGAGAATCAATCTAGGTAGAAGAGAGTGACGATCTTGCGTAGATTTTTAGCTTCTTGACAAGTCTCCATAAGAAGCTTACTGTCATGAAACGCGAAGCAGATCACTTGCTGTACTTGTGATATGATGTCCATATTACACAGCCTACAAAACAAAACAAAAAATATATATTCAACCAAACGATCTCAGTTTCTTCTGAACCAAACTGCATCAATGTATGATGATAATGATCACCAACCTGCTGGCTTCTAACAATGGCAAATGGTCGTTGTGTGGTTTTTCTACCACGTTTTGTACCTGTAAATTGGTATAGCAATAAGGAAGAGTTTCAGACACCCCAACAAGATTCTGACTTTTTTAGCAGGAGAACCAGTTTTGCTTACTTTTGACAACAGTTCCTGGCTCTCAGGAGGTTGCTTTTTCAAACTTTGGGGTAAGATTACTGTAAGAAGCTCTGGTCTCTCTGCTCTCAGTGCACCTCTGATAACTGCCGCATTAGTTCCAGATGCACCTGAAGTGTATATATGATTTTTCTGCAAAAGAGCCGAATTATTGGAGAAATATTTTGGAAAACTTTAAATGGAAAGATTGGATTGGATGAAGCTCAAATGTCTTACCGTTATAACCATAGCGTAGCTAAGTATCTCAATCAGTTCTTGATGCATGAAACCCATATTTCTTGTCCCAAAGAAGCCAATTGATCTAGGCCCTTGCTGCTGTATCGCCAACAGCTCCTGTCCATTTAAACATACATGGTTACAGCTAGCTAAAAGATTGACATTCAAAAAGCTAAAAGATAGATACCCTTCAGGCAAGTCAGAGAAAATAGTCTTACTTGTATGTAATCTACATCAGCGGCGGGTTTTAGCTCCGAAACTGCAACTGAACCAGATCCTTCAACAATAGCCTGCGCCTGAGTTGGAATCCTCAGCCCGGAATCTTCATCCGATTCAAGCACACATTTGATACAGTCATCTTTTTCACTCCATATATCTGTGTTGTCTTGATCTCTCGTGTGTTCAGGTAAGCACTATACACAGCACAGAGACAACAGAGTCACTAATAGTGAACAGCCAAAAAGCCAACTGCTCTAGACTTTTGGCAAGAGAGACAAACACAAACTCTGAAGCTTATACCAATCATAAAGAACTTCTGCGAAAAACTTAATAAAAAACCCAATATCTTAATACAAATCAAAACTGATGTTCCAAGAAGTAGAGCGACATGCCTTCAAGACAAAGAAACCTGAAACCAAAGCTTTCATATTCTAAATCTGTAAAACTGTTTAGAATATGCATATATCTGAGAAAAGAAATCACCTCCTACAAGAAAATCCTCATTGCGTACATGGTAGGATACAATGCAGTCTTAAGAACACTAAGGGTTCAAAAACACACATCCAAATATCAGCGAAGTCTAAATAGAGTGAAATATTGAATAAGTCAGCAATGGCCATAAAAACTGGAATCCCACCAAACAACTACCATTGAAGACGAAAGCGATACAGACAGAGTAAACAATACATAGAATAATTCGAAGTATGAATCTATAAATAGGAAAGAAAAAAAATACAATCTTTGATGGAAACGAAACATGATCCATTCTAACACAAAAACGACAAATTCTACCACTTTCCAAAAAACTTGATCAAACAAATTTCTGATCAATGAGAATTAGCAAGAAAAAAATCACAGAGAGAGAGAGAGAGGGAGAGGGAGAGAGGATGGGACAATACCATGGGAAGAGAGGATCTGAATCTGTGTATCCGCGCAGGGAAAAGCTGCGACTGGGAAGAACAAGAGGTCGCAGAAGAAGAGGATCGGCGATTGAAGTAAGGATTTTGCGATCGGAGCGGCGAAGGAGCAAGAGAATCTGAAGGAGGAGACAAAGTAGTAAGAGGCAGAAGTAGCCTCAGAGGAAGAGACGAACTCATATCTCCTACAGTATCTTCTCGATTTGATATCAATTTCGATATTCTCTTCTCTCCAGAGATATATGAGAGACAAATGAGGAACTCCTTCAATGCTTCAATTTGTCGGGACTCCTTTTCCTCGTCGGATGTGTATATTTTGGTCGGGTTGAAGAAGAAGAAGAAGATAAAACACACCCACAGACCAAGTGCATACAAAAACAAAACACAATAACGGAGGAAATAAGCCAACATTATTATTTTCTTTTTAAAAAAATTTGGAAGAATATTCCATTTTCCAGAACTTGACTTTTTGTTATTTATTGATACGGTTAAAAGTTAAAAAAAAAATTCTTTAAAAAGGTAAAAAAGCAATGTAACTTTTATATTGGAAGCATATTTTTTTTTTTCACGTGTGATAATTTAAATATGATGATGCTAAAGAAAGAAATGCAATTGAAATTATTCTCTAATCTTTTTGTATATTTGTTCAACTTTTATGGGTTTTACAGACATGATCAGAAACTGAAATTGAGAAGGATTTATTAAAAGGTGTCATCAAATGTCCCATCTTTTCTTGACTCGGAACATCAAGACTGACGATTTGATGTCATCTTGTGGAACCTGAAGCATGAACTGCACTTTCATCTTCATTGGTGTTGTTTTCACTTTTCCAGCTTCATCCCCCACCTGCCCACCATTTTTAACCCTCAGATTATAAGTTATGCTAATCTCATAAGAACCGGGCTCATACTACTAGACTCAAACCAAGCTCAAGAGACCTAAGATTACAACTAGCTCAAAAGCTAGCTCAAGTGTGACGGTGTCCAAATCAGATGGTAGTGACATAATTAGGTTAGGTACTATTGTATGGTGAATGGATGTTTATATGCAACGCATCATCATAATCGTATGACTCGGATTGGGGATTAAGCGAGTAAAAAAGATTTACGCTAATGAGAGAAGAGAGAAATGAGAAGAAAAGTTTGATGATTTTTACCCAGAGAGATGCCCAGCCAAGGCGTACATCAGAATCATATCCAGCTTTGAATTTGTAGTCTTTACCATATGTGCGTTTGTACACAGCACTCCACATGTTTGAGTCAAAGTTGTACCAATAACTGCATAAATCATCATAAAACATTTATACAAAACTGATTGCAGCAAATGAGATGGTTCTACTAGAAGAGAGAGCAAGAGAGGAGGAGGGGACACAATGAAGCCACTAACCTCAACTTATCTGAAGGGCTAAACCGACGTTTGAAGGCAAACGATGCAGCATTGGAAGGAAGAGAAATGCTTGGGATGAAGGACAATGCATCATCCTGTATGAACAAAGGTAAAGTCCTAATGTCAGATCCAAAGGAAGGGTATCATCTTGCATGTGAAATCTTGTAGAAGTTATTGAATAGTAGCACAAGAAAGCAGAGAAGCAATTTTGTAAAAGTCAAGAACCTTATATGCATATCTCAGCCTCAACTCTTCATCTGTGTATAGAGCGGTACAAATACCATTCATGGCTTGACGTTTGAGGATGCCGTTAACAGATAAAACTCTTTTCTGCTTCTCCTCCTCCTCATCTTCTTTTTCTTGTAACGAAATTTCTCCAAGTGGGAATTTAAGAGTTGCTCGTGGCTGCGTTAAGAGAAAACCGTCGAGGATTTGAGTTAGTGTTTACAGGCAACGTATTGCAAAGTAGTCTCAGCCAAGCAAGACAACAATTTACCGGGTAACTGATGAAGAAAATGATCGCAAATGCAAAACCAAATAGACAATGTAAGGGAGAGCACTCACATAACCAATAGGAACAGGAGATGAAAGCTCCAGAGAATAGCCTGGTTCAGTCAGATTTGCCTCCATAGCAACCTCTCCTTGTTGTGCCTGCAACAAAACATACAGTTAAGCCATACATTTGAAACGCCGTAAATTGATACATACATAGTCAGTCATTGGACATAAGCCTACATACATAGCCAACTGCTACTAATTGTAAGTTGCATAGTTCTCATATGCCCACTCAGAAACAATCATATTTTATAACTGTGAGATGCACTACAGGAGGAAGGCAAACCAAACCCAATGGTAACGCAAATCATATCAAAACTGTTCCACAATGCAGCACACAAATGGTTCTGTTCTGTCCCATAGATGACAAGTTGCCATATATATACATACACCCAGAATTTGACAATTTAGTTCAAACGAAAGATTAAGTCTTATCACAAATTCGACTAAGTGTGCCATAGGAAAAATCAATCCTTTTTGTAGGAAACAGTGAATGATAATGGGGGAAGAAGCAGGAAGAAGAAGAGATGTACCTTGACATTATGAATAGCTCGGAGCTGAAGGCGAGGGTGAACATCGAGATTGCTCTTGATGAACGTGTTCTTCTCTTCGATATCATAGAGAACAGAGACATGTTTGGAAGTAAAGGAGACCTGAGGCTGTGAAACCTCGCGCTGGGAATTGTTCTGAAACGAGAGTTTGAGCTTGGCGAGGTTGTCGAAGAGCTTACAAGAGACTTTGTTTAAGAAAAGGAGACTATCGCTGTCGAATTCAGACGTCACGCGGAGCTTTGGTCTGTTGGCAGTCTTGAGAAAGGACAAGGCAGAGCAAGGCGGTGGCGATAATTCCGAGGTACCAGATTGAGGGGTTGGTGAAAGAGAAGAAGAAGGAGGAGGAGGAGTGGTGAGGGTAGGGTTTTGAGAAGATGGATCTGCCATTGAGGTTGGATTTGAGAGAGAATCTATCGCAAAGTCGCGAACATGAGATTCAAGTTGTTGTACTAACAAGACAAGGGAATGTACCAAACGGACGGTTCTTGTTTCTCTTACAGATACACGAGTTACTTCACTTGGTTTTTCTTTGTATTTTTTTTTTACTTTACTGTTTACTTAAAAAATATAATTAGGAATCGTTTATTTTGGCCACTATGAAAGCAAATTTCTTAACGTTAATTAGGTGTGGATGTAGTGCTTTTTCTTTCGTTTAATTAGTTATGGTTCGCACGTTTTTTTAGTTCAAGAATGTGAAACTATATATAAATAGTGAATGATATATCGAATCAAATTACATGTTATTTTTTAAAAAAAATTTAATAATTCTTGCACGAGGTTGTAATATTTTCTGGCTAAGTGGAGTTGTGATCTTTTTGTTATGTTCTTGTTGTTCTCATGGAGTAAAAGTTGATTCATGAAAATTAGACAATCTGTGGACCTTTGTACTTATTTAACAATATGTATGTTGTTTCACTTTCCATTTAAGTAGCGATTATTGTATCTTTCCCTAGTGATTATATTTACATTGCTATAACCAGATGTATGATAAAATAAGTTCAACGAAGATTAGTGACACAAGCTAAAGATGCCATTATTGCATTATAAAAGCTTTAGAGAGACACTGAAATTGCTGTTTCATTACACTCTTATATGGTCTTCTTGTAAGGAAAATGTCGTTTTGCTTTTCTTTTCTTTTTTCTTCTTGTAATTAAAACGTACAATTTCGAAGTAGTAAGACAAATATAAAGTCTTCAAAACTAACCATTCCCCATGGGAAGGATAAATCTCTCTCTTTCTCTCTTGCTCTCTCTCTATTTATCTCCCTTTTCAACCTTTCATAATTGCACATCACCTCCTTTTCAAAACAGCTCTGGATCACTCTGCCTGAACCATCACCGGCTTTCCCCGTCCCATTGAGAATCCTCTCGTTCCATCAGGCATTCGTGGTCCAGGCGGTTGCTGCTTTCCCATGCCTGGTTGCTCCATGTTGTTCATTGGATTGTTTGAAGGTGGCGTTCCCACTTGATGATGATGATGATGATGTTGATGATGATTTCCTCGCCCATTGTGGTTGTTGTTGTTGTTGTTGTTGTTGTTCTGGTGTGGTTGACCTCGTCCTCGTCCCTTTCCTCTACCTCTGTTACGCCCTTTTCTTTGCCCAACTGCTTTCTCAATCCCTTGATCCTCTCCCTGTTATGTGGCAAAGTTAAGAACCATCCATGGAGAACAAAGCAGAGACCCAATAACGCATTTGGTCTACTTACTATTGGCTGCTCTTGTATATGTGTATCCCATTCCCCAGAAAAGTCATCAGATTGTTTCTCAATCGGCTGCTGCTCGGACGTTGTAGCATCATCTTCCTCATGTTCTACTTCTGGATCATGTCCTTTTCTTCCTCGTCCTTGACCTTGTTTTGGTTCCTTTATCTGTATGATAGAGTAATAACATATAAGCTAAGTGGAACCAACGTCAACTTCCACAGATCTTAACCCAGAACGATGACATGTAATTCACAGAATGTTCTCAACTACTAAGATATCTGGACTCTGCTCATTAGAGTGATAACGGATAGGGGTAAAGGCGTATCTAGTGTGTTTGTCAAATTTATAATCACATACCTGATGCTTTAGCATCAACCGGACTTTAAGACCGCTCCTCCAGTTTCCCGCTTCATTTAACTCCGCAACCTGTACAGTAACATGCCTTCACATTAGCACATGAGGATATCAACATATATAGTCTGAAAATCTGAGTAGATGAGGCTTTACTGCTTTCTCGGCTAGTTCAACCATCTCATACTCAACAAAAGCATGGACCTATAAGAACCAGTAAAAGAGAAATCAATCTTGCGTCCAGTTAATCCAAAGCTATGAGCAAAGAAAAAGCCACATGGATCCATCTAGTTACCTTGTTACTGAAAAGCGTACCATCGCTTTTTGCTGATCTTGCTGCGGGTGGAGCACCACTTCCATTACTTTGTGGCTGGCAGGTACGGATGTTCTTCACACTGAGGACAAATACTCATAAGTTTAGAAAAGCTCAACTGTATTGAAAAAAAAAGAAGAAGACGTAGTAGATTCTAGGTTTTATAACATCATCAAACGGTTTTGTACCTTCCAACAGTTGAAAAAATCTTCATCAGATTTTGGTAGCAATGATCCTCAGGTAGATTCTCCGCAATAATAATGCGAGACTGGATATATATGATCATTTATTAGAAAATCAAACGCAATCCATTATTCATGGCTTTAAAAGTTAGTCTAAAGAAATGTAGGAAAAGCAGGAATGAGGTAAGTACCTGGAGCTCTTCTATAGCAGACTCAGTGATCGGATTTATGCGTCTCACTTTCTTTCCATCTTCACTAACAACCTGTTAGATGACTCAAAAGTTAGAACATCAAATCACGTACAAAAGTTATTGACCAGAAAAACACACAGTAACATAAAAACTCACAAGCTTTGCTGAGTTCTCTAGCACTGCGGCAAGCTGAGAATTACTGTTAATAACAGCTTTAATTTTCTTGAACGATGCAACAACATGAATCGGCACTGAAACCACATGAGAAAAGAGTATTACTATAATGCAAAACGAACTCACGAAGATGCAGATGAATTAGCAACAGACATCTTACCATATCCTTCAGGATCCTTGCAAATGAATCTCATGAGATGATCTGTGGTGGCCAAGTTCAAGTCGCTGAAATAGTATTCAACCTGACAGTGAAGAAGTGAATAGATCACAAGTCTTAAAAAGAAGATCAAGTCTGAATCTAACTTAAAAATTCAAACATTCAAGAGATCGAAGCTAACCTGATTAACTATCTTCTGGATAGTATCTTCCGGCAAACCAGTTTTTGAATCGATAGAAACAGAAGCTCCAGTTTCAGCTGCTTGATCGGTCTTAGATTCTCTCTTATGATCTCTCCGATCGTTCTTCTTCGGAACCAAATCCGGTTCCTGCTCACCGCCGACAGCACCACGCTGCTGGTAATCTTGATGACCACCGTGATTCCTGACCGGAACATATTGCTGGTTCTGATGACGATTGTGATGATGATGATGATGAAAGCGATGATGGTTTTGAACAGGAACCAAGTGAGGCTGGATTGGAACAGGACCAAGGACGGGAGCATTGAAAGGAGGCTGGTGGTGATACATGTGAAGCATACCGTGCGGTGGAGGAGGTGGGATAATCATCCTCGGAGCTTGTGGCAGCGGTGGAGTTGTTCGACCAGGTACGAACTCTGGAGCTCCGGCGTTGAGTCGACTTGAGGAGAGAGACCTCAAGAGCGATGGATCTGCGGAGGAAGAAGCTGAAGTAGCAGAAGAAGTAGAGTGGGAGTGAGATAGATCATCGGATTGAGTAGATGGAGGAGTAGTAGAGGAATCTAGGGTTTGTTGATCAGCCATGGATGAGGAGGATTTAACAGTGATAGATGAAGAATTTCCCAAGCAAAGTTAGGGTTTTTTAAAAATTCCTGGAGAGGGAATCTTCTTACAGATTGAGAGAGATAGAGAGGAGAGAGAGCAGATCCCCCGGAGAAGGGGAGAGACCAAAAGAGGCAAAAGTCGCTTCTTTTCGTTTGTTTGGAGAGATGTTCTCGACTCTCTAAGGTCGTCTCTTGTCGTGTATTTATAGAATAGGCCCTTTTTCCTCTTATCGACAGAAAATAAAAATAAAATTACTTCACCTTGCTTGTCTTAATATTACAATCTTTCTTGTTTCTTCTCAATTATTTTTGGTCTCAGAAGTCTCAAGCATAAAGCAGTCTCTCTGATCATCATCATTCCTAAAATAAACAGACAGAAGAGTTTCGCTTCCCACAATGTCGTTGGATTCAATGCTTCTCTTGGACATGTTGGTCGAACCTGTTTCTGATGGCTTCCCAGAATGCAGGTACTGCGATGTTATCAGGGACTTCTTTAAACGATGGTAAGTAGTTCAAGTCTACTATCACGTGATCTCCTGTTCCTTCTTGAATCTGTGCAGATGAATTAAGAGAATCTGTTACTCTAGTCCGTAACCTGGCTATATATAAAGGGTCGTGTGATAGGGATGATACTTACAACCACGTCAAAGCCAAAGACTGTGAGATCAAGCTTCTTTCTTAGCCAGGTAGCTGCTTCTGTAACCAGCTCTAGATCAATCTCCTTTACCGGGGTCTCGTTTGCGGAACCAACAGGTAAAGATTTTAAGCTGTGGGAGGTAACGGAACTACTAAAGTTACAGTCTTTTCGTAAGTGCAAGTTTTTGTGTCCATGGAACATTAATGAAATTACCTGTCAAAGAGAATTGGTTGGAGACCGTTTTCCTCGGCTGTTCTCCTCAGACTAGAAGAGCTTGGGATCGATTTCTTGACCGCGTGAAAGATCTTTTCCCCCAAGACGTAAAACTTGAATATCCTGGATGAATGGTCCACATACTCCTGCAAATCGATGGTTGTCAAGTTTTCTTTATGCTTTACATCTTGATTTATTAGTGTTCCCCTATAATTGGGTGTCCAGGTTTTATGACTTACTTGGATAATGGCAGGTACAGGAGTTTTCAAATCCTTAAAATCCTCGACTCGGAAGACAATGGCCTGTGAGAAAACGAACATGAGGAAATCATTTGGTTTGCTTTGAAAAAAGAGAAACAGGGAATTCGAGATGGAATATTCACCATGCTGTGAGCATCAGCAACACCACAGGCAACCTGAGGTTTCACAATACATGGAAGAGAGAGTCCAGCTCTCGACAAGTTTTGAGTTAGATCAGGTTCATTATAGTTGTCAATCTGCAGATAGTGGACTCTGATATTAGTTTGCTAATGTAAAAAAAAGAATTAAGAGATACTCTGTCATATTTGAAGCATAAAGAAATTTTACGAGCTAATACAAATGAGAGAATTTTAAGACCTTGAGGAAGCAGGCGCCTCTTATCTTTCGTCCTGGTGCAGAAAAGTCCTCTAATCCAAGAAGAGTATGTTGCATCTTGAGTCGGTCCAGGACAGGATATATATTTTGAATAGGGTCGACTACAGTACAAGCATTTTGATCTTCCATATACCTGCAAGCAAGTACCTTCTATCATTATGAAAACCTGTACAGAGAGCTTTTAACAAGGTTTCTCATATTTGGGGTATCTATAACAGAGTGCTAGATAGAAAGCAAGGAACTGAGAAGCTTACCTTTTCAGTTCCTCCATGCTGGTAGAGAATGTAACTGCAACAGCTGATTCTGAGTCGGCGCAGTTCAGTTGAATGGACAAGATTTCATCAGTTGCTTTGTGGAAAATGATATCAGCGTGTTTGAGTTGAGATGAAAGAGGGAACTCAAACATGAGGGGTTGAAATATCAACCCATTTGAAGTAGGGTACATGGGTAAAGCACCCCTCTAAGAAAATCAGAAAATTTTAACACCGGTGAACATTAGATATATAATCATATCACTTTCATGAATCAATAACGACCTCGAGGGTAAAGCATACATTTGAGTAGTATACAGTGAGACAAATAAGGTTCAACAATTCTGGTTACCATAAAGATAATAGTTCATAGTCTGATTTCAAATAAGGTTCTAACCTTGGCAAAGTCCTCTACCCGAGATGGCTTCATGATGTAAGCAACTATTGCAGCACCATCACCCATTGCCTGTTTTGGGAGGAGACATCAAAAGGGTGATCAAAATACTGATATTCGCAAGAGATATAAACTAAAAAAATGGAAAGGAAGAATTCGAAAGTGTAGTATGAAGCATCTTGAACTCATTTGTTACACTGTTTAGTTGTGGCCTACAATCAGCACTTTCTTCAAGTATACCAGCTTTTTTCTCAACTATAAGTGTTTTTCTAGTATAAGCAAGAACCGCTGTAAAGACATACCTTTTTGTTCTCGCAGCAGATAGTCATTGGCAGCTCTTCGAGACTACAGATATGAAGCATGTTAGGATCCTCGCATGAACCATCTTTGGCAACATCTAGAAACCCAAAAGAATCCAAGAAATGTTAGGCCTTATTCCACCAGGAATAATGTAGCAAACTATAATGAGAGTTCATACTTCTAATTAGGAAGCATTTTCAAAACAGTTCAAGAAAAAACTGTTAAGACATAAATATTGAAGCTGAAATTTTTGAATAGGTTTTTCTCTCATGGGACTAGAGATTATCCTTATCACTAACCACCGAGTATAACAACAAGTTGACTGGGACTAAGTTCACGCAGTGACTCTTCCTTTCTGCTTGAAGCAACATACAGAATACTACCGTCACTATACCATGCTTTGAGAGTATCACCAAAGGTAACACTTATCAGAGACGCCTCTAAAGGTAAGCAATCAATCGAGTATTCTGCTGCCGTCTTCCTCAGTAAACCCACCTACAACATAGTAGAAACAAGTCAATCTCCACAGACAGTTAGACAAGGCAAAGATTTGAGTTGAACAAAAATCTTTGCTTAAAACATAGAAGATTCATCACGTTCATGGACACGAGTTGAAATAGTTAGTCCAAACCTTGTTTTCCGGGAGATCATGCCCGTATGCAACTCCCTGCATGACAGAAAAAATGCATCCAATTTCATTACAGTAGATAAAGCAAACCAATTTCTAAATGATAAGTGGAAACAAAAAAGAACGAATTGCATATAAAGATTCTCCCCAATTTGATCTAAAGTTCAATCCTTTCTCATATTGGAGAAATCACTACACAATTTCCAAAAACAATAATTGAAGACAAATATAAAACTTGGGGTCTGGTTTATTTGCAATGCAGATAGGAACCATGGATTGGAATATAGAGATATCTTTTGAATCTATCATTACCGTTCGGATCATGGAGTAACGAAGCAGCCTGAGAAGAGACGGGACTGAATCACTCAGTCTCGGCGACGATTCATCACTCTCGGAACTGAATAGCACAGATTCGTCAAGTAAAACCCCTTTCATCGCACTTCTTTCCATCTCTCTGTCTTTCCACCACTGAGGAACAAAGGAGTCAGAGAAGAATATATCAATACAAGGTGGCGATTTTAGCCGTTAAACTTAGTCGGAAAAAGTGCTTGTTCTTTATGGAAATGACCAATTCACCCTTACAGTCTTTTAAAGCACGTTGTAAAAGTTTAGGGTTAATTCGGTAATTAAAGAAAAAGACAAAAGCAAAGCCTCGTCGTTAAAGTTTCGATCTTTCTCTTATTAAATGTTTTGTTGTCCGCCTCTGCGCCTCCGCCAAGAAAAAAACATCATTTTGAAATAATCAGATCAAGTAGATCGGAAACTTTGAGAGTGAGACACGAAGAAAGAGAGATACTTACTTACCGGTTTTGGTCGAATGTCCGCAAGATGAATCGAATAACGTCTTCTTCAAATGCGCAAACGAAGAAGTTTCCTCAGTCTCAGCCGCAGCCGCCGGAGAAAAAGGAGAGAAACCTGAAAAGGGAGAAATTTCCGGTGAACCCTCTGAGAGGTTTGAGTACAAGAAGCTCGGGAAGCAGTAGTAGTAGCAATGCGAGTGGTTCTGGTTTAACTTCAAATGAAGCATCGAACGGTTGTCACAGGTTCTTGCTTTCTCATTCTTTCTCATCGTCTTCTTCATCTTCTTCTTCGTCTGGAGTTTTCTCTCATAGACATGTGAGATCAGTGGCTAAAACCCCCAAATCTGCCCCAGTTGTGAGTAAACCCTTAACTAGAAAGAAACCAAGGTCTCTGGAGGAGGCTAAGCTGAAGTCCACTCTTACTGAGAAACCCACTTTGAAGAAGTCTCAGAGATGTATCACAAATCCTATATCTGGAAAGAGACCAACTAGTAAGATTACCATGAAACGGAATAAAGGTTCGGTTTTGAAGAAACAATCTTCTGTTTCTAGAGAGGTTAAGCCTAGAGACAGCCAAACTGCGATTAGAGTAGATGACAGTATTGCTCAGAGTACTCCTTTGTCCAAATTAGGAATTGGATCTGATTTAACTTATAAAAGCAAGGGTGAAGCTACAGATGATGGTAGATTAAGTAGCAATAGTAGTAGTTATCAAGACAGGACACCACCTGTTCAAGCTTCGGTATCTCCGGAGATACAGTGTGGATCGTCTATGAATTTGTCTGCATCAACTCAATCACAAGCTTGTTATGCTGCTGGGCATTTACTCTCAGGTGTTAGTGATAAGAGGAAATGCAAGCCTAAAGGGATACTCACTGTGGGTGAAAATGGTTTTGAGGTTGGTAAGGGCAAGATACTGAATGATTCTGATGAATTTGATGAGGGATACTTTGGTAATGATGGAAGTTGTGATAACGTATCTATGATGCCTTTGCCTGTGGATGCGTCAGTGCACTGGCTTTTGTCTCCTTGTGATGAGGAGAAAGATTATGAAAAGGAAATATATGAAGATGGCTTCTCTCAGTTTCAGCAAATTGTTGAGTTTGTTGGCCATGAGACTCCTTCACCATTATCAGATCGTAGTGCTTCTCCGGATTTATGCAACATTAGCAGTGGCAGAAGTCTTTCACCCATGGATATATGCCAAGGGACAACGAGAAGGATCAGTTCTTCGCTTTCTCCAAATGAGCTTTTTCGGTTCAGGAGATTTATTCACCTCTCATCCTGTGATGGTGAAGCTTCAGCATTCGACACTACCCCTACATGTGAGCGGGATCCTTCTGAGCATTTGAAAGAAGAGAAACTGTCTCCCTTATCTGCTGATACGCTAGGAAGCGAGAATGTAATTCAAACACCAGAATCCAACTCAAGCTTGGACAATTATTTCGGACTCTCTTGTTCCCAAGCTGAAATCCAAAAGAAACATGATGTTGGTTCAGATTTGGAATCACTGACAAGGACTTTTCAGTCAGCCGGTTTGGCACCAAGGATCCAAGCTTCATCACGAGAGCCGAGCGTCTCAAGTTTCAACTTTGACTCTTTGGCCACATCTTCCGATTCCATTGATCTCTCACAGTTTCAGAGAGCTTTAGTTGAAAGGAGTACTTGTCATCCTCATGTTACACTGGATAAAGTGTCAAGGACACATGTGGGAGTAGAGAAACTAAGTAGCCACATGCCTGAAATGAAATCCCAACAGACTACAGATACTGAATTCGTCATGCAAAATTACAAAGAAAGTTCTGCTCCTCCAGGAAAAGGAAGGGAATTGCTTCCATGCTCTGCTGCGGAGTCAATAAGCACTGATGGTGGTGGTCTGATTTGTTCTGAGGATTCAAATTGGATGGCATGTTACAAGAATTAACTTCCTAGACTAATAGATAGATATATATAGCATCGGTTTCTTTGTAAGTAGGTCCACACTAGCAGGTAGCTGAAGGAAATTTCCTTCTGTATTTGTGTTTCACTTGTTGTCTTTAAATTTTCCACTATAAACAGCATTTTTTTTTATATGAGCGCATTAAGATTCTTGAAACTCTCGTTACAGTACTTTGGTAAAGCATTGAACTTTCTATAAGAGTATTTGGTAAAATTGGCTTATGTTAATAATGATTGTTAATTTGTTATATTCTTGTCTTTTCGGTTTTTTTTTCTATAGGAGGACCAGGACACTGTTGTGGTATATTATACTTTCCCTGATACCTTTCCTTTGTCCAATGTCTTAAAGAGGTTAACTCTTTGTGAATGTGTAAAACTCTATACAGTCTTAACATTGAAATTTCTGTTGCTCAGTTCTCAAAGTAAAGGAGAAGGAATCACACGATTATTGGGATCCCTATATTCTTTTCTTTTGGTTTTTTCTACACTGTTGTGTCAATATCTATTAATAAAAGGTTGATACTTATCTTTTCCTGATACTTCTTCTTTGCTTCAGGTTCTGTAAAAATGCTAAGTCTTTGAGAATATATAACTCTACCGTCTTTCGGTGAAACATTGATATTTTTTGTTCCTCAGCTCTTATAGGACAGGAGAAGGATTCTCACAGGACTATGGGGATTGCTATATTCTTGTCTTTCGGTTTCTTAAAAGGACATTGTTGTTCAGTATCTCTCAATTAGAGTTTCATACTTAAAACTCTTCCTGATACCTTTCCTTTGCTTCAGGTCTTGGGCAAAAGCTTATCCTTTAAGGAAAAACAAAGATAAAAAGTGTTCTTTATAGAACTTTTTACATATTTCCAAGAAACCAAACATAACCTTTTAAATGTTATGCTGATCAAGAACCCATTGATACTTTCACTTTCCACATATTCAGCCATTTCTTTTGAGGTTTGGCTTCGCTGATTGATTCAGTAATATATATCTTCTTGTTATGATCTAAATTCCTCTTGACAATACCAAATTTTTATCGGTCATAACCACCTCTGAGGAAACAATGTCACACTATGCTGAAACTACATATGGAAGAAGGAGCAAAGATGTTGATGAAGCTCGCAGAATTTACCAACAGAAACAGAGTGACAGCACCGGTAAAATCATCATCTTTATTCTTGGAGGGCTTTGCATTCTGCTCTTCATCTTCATCATCATCGGTTTCTTTTTCATAGCCAAGCCACTGAAAGCAAGCTTGACATCTGCTGATGTAAGAAACCTCAGGTACAACAACAAAACAGCATCATCATCATCGCTTTACTTCAACACAACACTAGCTATGGAAATCAGAATTGAGAATCCGAACATCGGGTTCTTTGAGTTTCCCGCTAGTAAAGGATATATCTTGTATAACGGTCATGTTGTTGGTGAAATGAGGATTAGTGGACAACGAGTGGCTTCGTTTGGTACCATAAGAACAGAGGTTAGGACAGAAGTGGGATACAAAGGGAATCAGGCATCACCTGTTTGGTTGAAGAATGATATAGAGAGAAGGCTAATAATCCTCAAGACCAGAGCTAAACTGAGAGGTGAAGTACACTTGAAGGCTTTGAACAAGAGAACGGTGAATCTGAATTGTCTAATGCATCTTAATCTGAAAGATGAGGTGATTCATCGTTTGTGGTGTAAATGAAACAGTACGTCTTAGGTTGTTTCAAACCTTTACCTAGCATATAGTTGTAGTAGAAGTGAACATTGGAATAGTTGTAGTTTTTTTTACAAAAATTGGGACGCTTCAAAGTACTGGTTCTTTTCATTACAATAAAGTTTTTACTTTAATTTTCTTATCGTTCTCTTTTTGTTACTTTAACTCTTAATTAGCATCAGATGAAAAGTGTCGCTTTTTAAATAATTCAGTATGGTTAGTGTTTGTTAACGTAAGAAACATCATTAGCGTTGTCGTCACTCTTGTTTAAACTTCTTTTAATTTTTTTACTAATTCACTTCTATGCATCTATTATACTCAAAGGACTTAATCGTTTTTAGTTCTATCTGTTTTCTTCAACGAAAGAGCATCTTTGATATGGTGGTGGTGACTTGAACGTTGAGACAAATCTTAACAATATTGATTAGGGAAGTATCAATACTTTTCTTCGCTTAGGGAACTATCAAGGCTACGGGCTACCCCATAAAACATCTAAGCATATTAGTTTTACATATTTCGGAAACCACACATCATCTTTTAAATGTCATGTACTTGATCAAGAACTCATTCATAGTTTGTATGTAGGTATAGTTTGGAAGTTGTAAAGTTTTATCCGAGGTTTGCTTCACACTTCAAATTGGAATTAGAAACAACAAAACCACATTGGTGACATTAGTTCTATAAGAACAATTTCGTTCATGGTACATCAAAGTTTTGATAATCCTATGGTCTACCGTCTACGGTTTGGTTTTGCCATTATGACATTTTCTAAATTAAAAGAAAACACTCTTTCGTATCTGGCAAAGTGTATCTCAACTTATTTAGTTTATTCATATGTAACTTTCTGTACAAGCATAAGAGGTTTATCTTGAACCCGTCTTCTCTCTTCTAGAATTTATATATAAATTGTTTTATTGGAAATAAACCTAAACTAAACCAAACAAACAAACAAAAAGTCTCACAAAAAAATCTCTTGTTTTTTTTGGGTTGCCATACACAAAACAGCAAGTCAAGGATCAATGGTGGATAACAGCTAAATCATTTTTTTATATAAAGGAAGTGACCTATTGGACTTTTTTTTGAGGTCTCAATCACAATCCCTTTTTTAAATGTAAATATGCACTAAACGTTAATGATTTTAGGTTTATGTTTATTCTTAATCATCTGTTTCTCGTTGACAAAAAGGAATAATCGTATCATCAAAAACATTTCTAGTTCCCAAGATTTGAATTCCAAATAATATAAAAAGTTGTGATGTATATGGATGTTGCAACATGCTACCATTTTTTTAATTTAAAAAAGCTTACATCGATAATCTCATAAATCAAACATAAAATACATTAATCTCACGACCAAGTATCACTTAGAAATGTTTTAAACTTGAAAAAGAGTAATGATCATGAAATCCAAAAACAAAGAGGCACCGTAACTGAAGATGATCATTTTATATTTTTAATATCTTTTGTAGCTGTGGAATTCCAAATGGATATATATGAAATGACCCAATTATTAAAATTTGAGATATAAATCAAATTGGAGAAACAATACTAAAAAATAATAATTGATGTCTCTTTGTGTAAAGAAAGACAAAATATAAAAGAAGAATATTGGAAGGTAACTAAGCACCAAACCCAAGTCAACAAAACCATAAACATAAAACCCTTTTGCTTTGCTTGCTTCATCTCAAGAGAACCTCAAAGAGAGAAGAACTAAATAAGAAAACAAAACTAGAGTGGATCATCAATGGATGGTTTAATACCAATGGCCTATAAGGCTATGAAGAAGAACCTAACTCGTCGTCGTTACGAACGTCTCTCCTCTTCAACCAAGACTCGTGAGTCTTACGAATTCGTCTCTGATATGGAAATGAACGTCGACGGTCACCACCGCCGTCGCTGGTCCATGGGAGATTTCTCGTCGTTGTCAAGCTGGGAAACAAAAAGAAACGGTGGCGTAGCTCCGGAGAAAGGTTTTACACCGCCGCGGGAAGGTCAGCTTGTGAGGTTCAAGAGCCATAGATTGTTTTCTTGCATCTCAGGTCAATAACTTTATCAACTCAAGAAAATTGTCATAATACAGAAAAACAACAAAAAAACAAAAATAAATAGGAAATTTGCATTTTCTTTCGTCTTGTGTTTGATTTTTGATACAAGGAATCATGTAGATATCGTTATTTTTGTGATCTTTTGATGTATACGTTAAGTTTGTAATCTGGGGATTGTTGTGCCTATGTATATTTGTAAAGTCATAAACGAGAAAATGAAAACTTTGTATGGACCAAACTAAAATGATGGTAATTCCAACTCAACAAAGTTGTGGTTGACCTAATCCATATTTGACCATAGCCCGTAGTTGACTTGACGGGTCATAACTCAGAGTTGTTCCTTCTCCATAAGATAACATCAAAAAACATAACTTAGTTAATTTGATTAGATTAAGGGGCTGTAGTCTTTAGATGAATAGATATGTTCATTGTTTTGGCTGTGACTATAAGAGAAACCTTCAACATCTAAAAGTGTGTGACAAAATCAAGTGACAGAAGAACAAAAGAACACAATGCTTCAAACAGGTGTAGCTGAATGCAAAAGCTCAGATGAAGCTAAAGACTTTTGATTATTCTACAAAGTAACAGTGCGTCTGTAGAGAACTTCATCATCATTCTCATCATCTTCTTCCTCATCCGACACAATCTCGCCACCTGGCATTTCTAACTTCCCACCCATCTCGAACGTTGGACCTTCAGTCTCTGCATCGATAAAGTTTCCTTGCAACCGTTCCTCAAATCTTTGGTCACTGCAATTGAGAAACCAGTTCAATGAACTCCTAATTCCTTTGCTCTGTAGCTTCTGGTACCTTGGTTTGATTCTTGACTCCAAGCTATACGTAAAATACTCAGGGTACTCAACGAGTTCTTTCATCGGTCTACCCATCTCAGTCTTGTAGAAGTAGTAGCTATTCTTCATGAGTTCGACTCGGGAACAAAGGATCTGAGGACATCTCACAACCATTTTTGCAATGTCCTCGGGTTGAAAAGCCCTGCCTAGGAGAAACTCAACAGGTTTCATTATCACATTCTGTTTCAAACTTACAATCTGTGGCATTTTCTCTATCACACGCGCAAATCCTTCTGGATCAATCTTGAGCTTCAAGCTGAAAAAGTACTGTTGTGTAGACATCTTGGCTTTTACAGGTAACCCGAGAATTTGAGGATATTGAGCTATAACCAAAGGTAGTAGTTCTTTCTTGATTCCAAAACTAATCAAACAATCTACATTTGGTTTAACAGTCTCCTCTAGATTGTATCCGATTATATATGCCCGTTTCTCTAGCATCCTAGCGACAATTTTCTTCGGCAAACCAATGGAAACTAGATAATCTACAAGAGGTTTGATCATGGTTCCAACTCTCATTCCCAAAAGATAAGGATACTGAGTCACCATTGGACCAATGTCCCTAGGATTCACACCAATGCTTACCAAATACGCAACGGATGTGCTCATCGTGCCTTCGAGTTTAAACCCTAACAGCTCAGGATACTTCATCAGAACATACCCAAAATCTTGCTTCTCCACGTCGAGTCCTCTAAGAAACTTAACCACAGGAGCAAGCTCAACAACCACACTTGCATGGAGAACTTGAGGATAGTTCTTAACAAATTCTCCCAATTTCGATCTCGAGATTCCAATTTTCTCTAAGTAAGCCAAGACAGGAATCAAATTCTTACGCACGCTGCAGCCTAACATCAAAGGATACTCATTTATATCGTCTATAGTCAACCCTAGCTTCTGTAAGAACTCAACACGCTCACACATGACTTCAATGGTGGAAGGTAGCTCAATACTCTCCAATTCATCGGTGATTATCCCCAAACCCTTGAGATAATCGCAGATTTTGACACGATTCACGAGCTTTTCTTTCTTCCCTTGTATGACTCCCCATGTGACTGTAGGCATCTCGTACTCCGGGAACTTGGAAGATTGAGTTGCATAGTGAGCAATCCTGGAAATCGAACAAGGGTTTTGAAATTGGGGGATAGTAGGATCTGGGTTTATCAGGGTTTTAGTTTCAGGGGATATAATCGGAAAGATGAAACACTCTCTTTTGATCAAAGTTAAAAACTTGTTCCTCCTGAGAAGAAGACAGCTCATTCTGGAGATACCCAGAAGACTGGTGTCGAAGAAGATTACGACTTTGCAATAAAAAATCAAATGGGCAATGAAAAAAGATTCTCGCTTTCTCGTCTGGAGGAGTTTAGCGATTAGAGAAGAGGGAGATATGAAAGGCGCGTGTGAGAGAGAAGCCCTAATGAGAGAGAGTTTCACTAGCTCGCTGTTCTTTTTTTTTTTACAATCTGAATAGAAAAACACAACTTTTATCTTTGGCAAACACCATTACAGTTGAGATGTGATACAATTTTTCCACCGAAAATTATAACTTTTTGGTGATGATGCTGCATAACTCTATTCTCATATCTTGAGAGTTGAGATCGTTATTCAGAACATTTGGAGAACTTTTATCTATAAGACCTCACTTCAATAATCCTGAAAGGAGCATAACTTTTAAGGTAAAGAGGTCGAACATGAACAATACAATAACAAGTTCCTGTATCTACCAAGGAGTTTCAAAAGCCTGTGTTAAAGGCAGAAGATGTGGTAACCAAACATCTAATTGATGGTTTGGTTAATCTAATCTCAGCTCTTCTTTTTGTGGGGCAAACAATCTAAGCTCTTCTAGAACCACCATTTGGTCAATACACTGACAAAACTCGGAAACTCAACGCATATTTCCCTCTCTCAAAACATCGATCATGTTGTAGATTCGCTGATCTGCTTTCAATCGAATCTGCATTCCACAGAAGTGTTGGATCAACAATCAAGCATTACGAAGATTAGAGGTGAGACTCAGAGAAAGCTGAGACTCAGAGAAAGCTAAGACACAGAGAAAGCTGAGATTTAATTTCGTAGAATCGTGATGGGCAAGAGGGGTAAGGTTTAGAACCTTTTTGGCGAGGAAGAGCACGGCATCAACAGTACCCTCAGCATATATTGATCTGCCACAGACATTGTGTTGGAACTCGAAAGTGACACTGCAAAGAAAGACAGAAAAGGGAGCAAGTTATGGAACAGACACCCTTTTACAATCGAATATAAATAAAAACCTAAACAACATCTTAGTATTGCATTACGTTTCATCGGGTGATGTCAAGTGATAAAGATGGAAAGCGTGGCCAGAGATATGCTCTTCGGGAACACCCACCATCTCCACTTGCTGTTTTGGATCCCGAATCAATTGTATCTACCACAAAAGATTTATACACAACAAAAATCATATTCCAGAGGATAAAATAAGTCATTGTCCAGAAGTAAACAATAAAGGATGACCAATGCACCTCATCCATGTCGTAAGACACACCCAATTCCTGGAAGCAAGAAATAACAGCTTTTGCTGTTCCTGATGCATCCAATTTGCTAGCTTGATGAGACTCCATCACCTACAAAGATTGGCAGTTGATTCAACGTAGCAAGAGCTAATATAAAACTATCGAAGAAAAAAAGAATTTGAATTTATATAAGGAGTAAGAAACGTACATCCAATGAATAACCAGAAAAGGCTCCCGGAAACTGCTCAGCCATGATCTCCATGGCCGCAAGAAATGCTACAACCTATAGACCAACAAAGCACACAACTATGAGCTAAAGGATCTCAATTTACATGAATAAGAAACCATTTCTTCCAGAACCATCCAAGTAGACATACCTGTTTACCCATTTGTGGGGAAATCACCGCATAAATCTTTGCTTTCTCAACAGTTTCATACAATTTGTTCCTATCCCCACCAGTTGTTCCCATGACGAAAGGAACACCAACTTTGCTATACAGCTCGGCATTATCTACATGTGAAAATTCCAATTTGAAATCAACTCAACAGACAATCAAAACTTGTAGCAGCTGATTTTGCACTTACACAAATTCTAAACTAGCTCAATCAAGGATCACAATGATCGTTCCCGCAACCAGAATTCAATCCTAATTTCAAAAAATTCAGAATACAATTGTCTCTTGATGGTAGAAATGAGAGATTGTGGAGTATACCATTTACTGCAGACGGAATTGTGTAGTCGACAACAATGAGCTCCGGGTGCTTTTCAAACACGGAAGAGAGAACTTTTTCTCTTTCAGCAGGACCGTGCACAGTAATCTCCTTTCCACAGACCTCAATCGTCTGACCATCCTCACCAGCAGATCCAAACGATACAGGAACAATATTTACTCCTGCAGAGTCTGCTGCTTTGATTACAGCTTTCCCCATTTTGCCACTGCATCCATTCACCTGTTATATCAGAGATAATAAATGGCTTAATCCAACAGTCACCATTTCTAACAATAGAAGAAGAAAAGACACGATCTTTGACATTTCTACATCTCAAACTGAAATGGTAGGTAGTACTGCAAAGTCAAAACGCAAAGGTCTGAGGTAAAGGGAAAATAAGTAGATTATCAGATTACCATGATGGATATGCCATTTCCAGGCAAAACAGACTTCACGGCCTCTTCACCGCAATCTGCCGACGCCGTCATGGATAAAACCACCGGAAGACGACGTGTCCCTATGCCAAGGAAACTAACACGGCCGTTACCGCATTTTCCTGCATTCTGATTCGTTCTAGAAGCAAATGCGAGACGCGAGTCCACTGGGCGATGAAGAAACACACTTGAAGACGCCATTAATCTGTGATAAAAACGTTTGATTTCAGTAGAATTCTCTTTGAAGAGTTAAAAGCTCATCTCCATCAATCAAAACCAAAATTTTAAAGTGAAATTCATAGGTTCGAAACGTACCCGTTCGTCGCCATATCCTATCAGACGAAAGTTTTGTTCTTTATTGCGACAGACAAATCGTTAAAATTCTTCCACTTTTGTCTGAAAATTCCGGCCGGCGAGACATTGGGATTTAGGGTTTAGCTTATCCTTTTATCATCAAACCGGGAATCCCTAAACCAAACTAGTAGATTCAATAAAACCAGATTCAACCGGAAGCCGTGAACCGATAAGAGAAGCTTCTGTACGAGAAAGAGGTTAACCTCTCAGTCTCACTCTTAACCTGACTGAACGAAGAACCATCTCAAAAAAAATCCGACGAGCGAAAGATGAAGTCCTTAGCTTCGCCGCCGTGTCTCCGCCTAATACCGACGGCACACCGTCAGCTTCATTCGCGTCAATCTTCCTCCGCCTGTTATATTCACGGTGTCTCTTCCGTGAAAAAATCCAATAGCCTCTCCTTCTCCTCATCCGCATCCGGTAAGCTTGCTTTTCTCTCTCTTCTTTAAATAGCATAAGCGAACATTAAAAATCTCGTGATGAGATGTTCAAATTTCGTTTAGGATTTGTGTCACCGCTCGCTGTAGAGAAGGAACTACGCTCTTCATTCGTACAGACGGCTGCTGTTCGCCATGTAACTGGGTCTCTTATCAGAGGCGAAGGTCTTAGATTCGCCATCGTGAGTTCTCAGAATCACTTTCTTACTTTATGCGCTGCTTAGATTTGGTGACTTGGTTCTGATTTAGATGATTTACAGTAAAAATTGAAAACTTGAGCTCCATTGCAGTCCAGTGAGCTTGTGTTGACTTCTTTTTTCATCTCAATTTTGTTTAAAGGTTGTAGCTCGTTTCAATGAGGTTGTGACTAAGTTGCTTTTGGAAGGAGCGATTGAGACTTTCAAGAAGTATTCAGTCAGAGAAGAAGACATCGAAGTAAAAGTCTTTTGCTTGTTGAGATATATGTTCAATCAGAATAAAAAGATCTGAGCTTTCACGAAGCTAACGAAACTCTTTTTATTCAGGTTATATGGGTACCTGGCAGCTTTGAGATTGGGGTTGTTGCACAAAATCTTGGGAAATCAGGAAAATATCATGCCGTTTTATGCATTGGCGCTGTGGTACGATTCTTGCTATAAACAACTCAGACCATTCAATTCTGTTTCCTCCTGTGACTCCTTCAAGTTATAGAAAGTTTCTCTCACATGCTTAAAGTTGGTTTTTGATATACACTTGTCCTTGTTGTGGTTTAGATAAGAGGAGATACCACACATTATGATGCTGTTGCTAACTCTGCTGCATCCGGAGTACTTTCTGCTGGCATAAATTCAGGTTTATCTCATACAAAATTGGTGGATATGAATTTGTAATTTTATGTAATATTGTTTTGAAAACAGTGAAAGATTGGTTTTGTGTACTTCTGAACCTCAAAGAGCTGGTAGTTCATTTTTGCCTGTCTAGGGATTTGGGATGATTCAATTCCCGCATCATAAATTAGTTCTTCAAATTTTATTTCTGGTTATCATCCTCTCACTATTCACTTTTTGTAGTAATTAAAGCTTATAAAAAAATCCACTTTGCAGGTGTTCCATGCATCTTTGGTGTACTGACTTGCGAGGACATGGATCAGGTTAAGTTTTGTAATGCAAGAGTTGATGATATATAGTTTATAAATCATATGGATAGACACTGAACTTGTTGCTATTGTGGTCAAACTGAAACTCTAGGCTTTGAATCGATCTGGTGGCAAAGCCGGCAATAAGGGAGCTGAAACTGCTTTGACGGCGGTAAGTATCGTTATGATTATTCATTCCTTTATTCTTAGAACAAGATATAGAAGTTCCTAATCATTCCATTATGCAAGTGGTCATTCGAGTTACTGTCTCTTCGTCTTCAGTAACGTCCTGAAATTTTCTCTCTTACTATTTCTTCAGCTCGAAATGGCGTCGTTGTTTGAGCACCACCTGAAATAGCTCTGCTGGCAATGATCACGTATGAGAACTGCATGCTGTTATCACATTTGGTTACTATCCAATCTCCAAAATTGTAACTCAAAGATATTCAAATTGTTTTGGTGAGAATATTTAAACGCTTTTGTAAGCTTTTTTTTTTTTTTGTCGACCATTCGTTTTTATAACGAAAGTCCAAAATGGGCAGAGTACAAAAGCATGATACAAAGCTTTATTTAAGCCCAAATTAAAATGAACCCACATACTATAACATTGACACGTAACACCAACGTGTATGAAGCAAAAGCAAGAGGGCCCACTTCTTGTTTCTTCTCAATTCTTCTCACCGACTTAGATCTGAGACTGTACTCCGATTTTTACGCCGGCGACGAACGTAGCAACAGATGAAGGCTTGAAATCACGCTTCTGGGACCATCTTTCTACAAAATTTAACCGCTGCAAGAATTGGATCAACCTTAGGAAATGTCAAACTCAATCCAAACTCCAAGAAGAAGCTCCGCCTAAGACCTAGATAAGGTCTTCTTCAATCCTTAACGATGAAGATATAACGGCGAAGATATTACTCTATCTTTGAAGGAGAATCAAGTTGATGGCTAATCCAATAAAAACAAACGGGATTCGATATATTTCTTTGTAGAAAGAGGCAAGAACAAAAAAATAGATTTTCTATCTTAGTCAATAAACTAAACAAGATAAACATTATTTAAAACTGACTAAGAAGAACAAAAGATCCGAACCAAGTCGGAAATCTATAAAACAAAACTAAAATTTTCCGGTTAACCGGAAATCGCCTTCTCTCTCTAAAAGATGAACTGTGTGTTAAGAGAGAGAATCGTGTGATAATAATAATAATTCCTCTGAATTTTGGGGTTTTTTCTGCACCAATCAAAAATGTGATCATATTTGTTGTAATATCTTAAAGTTGAGGTGTTGAAATGGGATTTTCAAATTTTAAAAGTCCAATAAGGACCTTACACGACGAAAGTTTTGTCGGCAAGCGAAGATAACGCGTCACACATTCATTATAGTTAAAAGGTTCAACGAATCAACTAATTTCACAATCTTCTTCTTCAATCACTTTGGTTGGGCACCACTCTCTCTTCTCTGTCTCTGCAGACTGCAACTCACTTTCATCCAATCCAAGTCTCCAGGTAAAAAAATTCAACTTTTCTTCTGATCGTTGTTGTTCTTGCGTTGATCCTTTCATGATTTCATCAGAGAGAACGTTGGTGATAAGATCGAGCTTTTCTGATCCTGACCTTATTTTCTCCGATCTGTTTGACACTTAGGTTGATCTATTGCTATCTTGTTCAGATCGAACATTCGGATCGTTATATTTCTCATGAATCACGTGATATGACCATTGTCTCTTAGTACAGAAATGCCATTGTATGTTGTTTGGTTTGAGCTATACATGCCACTAGGATGTTGTTATGATCCTAGTTGATGAGATCTTATTGTGATGCGAGTTCCTTGATGGTGTTTGGTGAGATCAAAGATATGATGCATCAGCATTGTATTGGATAAGCCTTTTACGACTACTGATTACTGTTTGTTTTGACTTTTTACAACCATTGTATGTTTTTCCTGTGTTGCTTGATTGTGTCTGAGTTTGAATCTACTCTCCAAGTTTTGTCTATTCCTTTGATACATACTAACTGAATTTTGAACTGTTGCTGCTTAGGTAGGTATGTCGACTTCTGAAGATAAACCGGAAATCCTCACTAGAGGTCCTGATGAGGGTGACGTGAAAATCGTCGATAGAGGTCAGAAGGATAAGGACGAGGAAAAAGAAGAAGGGAAAGGTGGATTCCTCGATAAGGTCAAGGATTTCATTCATGACATTGGTGAGAAAATCGAGGGAACCATTGGGTTTGGGAAGCCAACTGCTGATGTCTCTGCCATTCATATCCCTAAGATCAATCTCGAGAGGGCGGATATTGTTGTAGATGTGCTTGTGAAGAACCCGAATCCAGTTCCTATCCCTCTGATCGATATCAACTACCTGGTCGAAAGCGATGGGAGGAAACTGGTTTCAGGATTGATCCCTGATGCTGGAACCCTCAAGGCTCATGGAGAAGAAACTGTGAAGATACCATTGACTTTGATCTATGAGGACATCAAGAGCACTTACAACGATATCAACCCCGGGATGATCATACCTTACAGGATCAAGGTTGATCTGATTGTTGACGTGCCAGTATTGGGAAGACTGACATTGCCGCTGGAGAAATGTGGAGAGATCCCGATTCCAAAGAAACCCGATGTTGATATCGAGAAGATCAAGTTCCAGAAGTTTTCTTTGGAAGAAACCGTGGCGATCCTTCATGTGAGGCTTGAGAACATGAATGACTTTGACTTGGGGCTCAATGACTTGGACTGTGAAGTTTGGTTGTGTGATGTAAGCATTGGGAAAGCAGAGATATCGGACTCGATCAAGCTTGACAAAAACGGAAGCGGGTTGATTAATGTGCCAATGACATTCCGACCAAAGGACTTTGGTTCTGCACTTTGGGACATGATCCGTGGGAAAGGAACAGGATACACTATCAAAGGTAATGTTGATGTTGATACACCATTTGGAGCGATGAAGCTTCCTATTATCAAGGAAGGTGGCTCGACCCGTCTGAAGAAGGAAGATGATGATGACGACGATGAGGTTATATGCTCTTCTCTTTTGCTTATATAGCTTGAACATTATGATCGTTTTTGCTCACAAATATAATTTCGTTTTCTTACAGGAGTAAGGAAAAGAGAGCTGAGGAGGCAGATGGTTGTTAAGTACTGAATCTCAAATCTTGAAAACTATATAAGTTTATATGAAAGACTTATTTGGTGTGCTTTAAATAACTGGTTTGGATCAGACTTTTGAATAGAGGGGTCTTTGATTTGTTTATTGAACTTTCTATGTCATTGTGGTCTAGTTCGCTTGGTTATGTTTTGTTTAAGTCTGGGTTTTGAATCCTTAAACCCAATGGCACCAAATCCGATAATCAGCAATAAGGAAATAAATAGAGAAGAGAAAGACGTCGAAAGCTACCCAATGTTTCTTACAACAAAATTGAGTTAATTTACTTATGTATCATACCATCGTGGTGTAATCTCAAGCAAAGGATGAAGCTTTGGGAAACTGATACTGTCGGTACTTAGGGTTTTAAAAACCCATGTATTAGAATACTTCTTGCACATTCATACACGAGACGGTCTAGTCTTAACCAATTTCAAAAACCAGTCCAAGATTTTCACGATTTTATGGATGGTCCGAACCCGGTTTGTCTGAACCGGTATCGTAAACTATTACGCTTCCTCTTCGATCAGTTCAGAGCCGCTTTCACGCTCTCTCTCTCTCTCTCTCTCTCTCTCTCTCTCTCTGTGAGAGTGGGGACTTCTCCCGGCTAGAATATGTTATAACT